TATGCCCAAATGACAATAGCCCAAGGCAACCCAGCGAAAGCGACAAGCTTTCTCGGCGTCCATGATCGCCGCCACGCTGGGTGTGGACAGCGTCTTGTTCACCTGGGTCGGAGTCCGAAACAGCTGGCTCAATAGGGAAAGCAAAGCAGAAACGGGATCCTCCAAAAGGAGAGTCCTCGCGTTTGTTGAACGGGGATCCGTCCGTGTGAGTTGTGGTCATCCAAATGCTAGTCACCTCAGCCCAGCTCCCGTGTCCCTGTTTTGGTAGTGGTTTTACACCAAAACTAACCGAAGCGATAAACCCCAAAAGCGACGGGACACATCAACCAGAGAGAGGATCCAGCAAAGGGCACGGCTGACAGGAGGCGGTAGATCCAATTTTTCTCAATGTGCAACCTCTTATGATACACCCCACGCAAGGCTCCACCAAAATGTGGTTTCAAACCTGCAAAGCTGCATCTTCACAAGCTCTGGGCAAAGCCACCGGGACACCTTTCCAAACACAACAAGTGAAACACAGCTGGGACAGGCCACAGGGACGCCACTGGGACACTGGGACCCACTGGGACACCGAATCATGAACGCAAGCGGGACAGTCTTTTAGGGGAACAAGGGTCTTGTCCAGCGGGAGTCTATTCAGGTATTTAATCTGCTACAAAATTGATTCAACATTATGCAACATATTCGATCAAACAAACATATCAGTAGAATCCCTTGGTCCCTGGTTGATCAAGCTACCCATAGCCAGCAAGAGTTGTTTAAAGAGCCCTTGAACAACCCACTGGCTGAAGCGACCAATTAATTGAATTGAGCTTGCGCTGCATCCCAGAGTTCCTTGGAAAGCCGCCGGGCGCATGGTGTTCAATGCTTCGTTCTGAAGTGTTTTGGCAATGCGTTTGCATTTTTATTTTCATTTCTTGGAATGTGTGTGTGTGTGTGTGTGTTTGTTGACTTGCTTTTGTATCTGGAACGTTGGCAAATGATTGTGCGTATGGTTCAATGTTTCTGTATGTTGTTGAAGGTGCTTGTAATTGTGTGCAACCACAAGGCTTTGTTGCGCAGTCATTTAGCCAGACCTCCGTGGCAGTATTTGCACTTTGCTGATACACCTAATCAAGCCACCGTTCAAGGGAATTTCTCAGGGATGCGAGTGGAGCTGTCAACATATTGTGGTGGCTCCGGTAATTAATTGAATGTTATTGACGCTTCCCGAATGTTTATGAATGCCCAGAAAACATTTGTATGGAGTTGTAATTCTTCAGATGTGCTTGCATGCTCCTCATCTGAACAAGGCCCCGGTCAACACCCATCGAGACACCAACACCACCAGCACACTAACGGCCACCGGAATACCACCAAAACACTGGGACACCACTGGGAGACTCTGGGACACCACATTAAACCACCACCAAAAAAAAAGACCACGACCAGAACACCACCGCGACACCAACAGAAACACAACCGGAATATCGCCGAAAATCACCGGCACCGCAAAACACCACTGGAGACATCATCAAAAAAAAACAGCGACACCTCACCAAAACAGCACCGGGACACCGGAAACCCGCTTGGGCACCTTCTAGGTAGTGGAAAGGATAAGAAAGGACACTGGAGGTCTGATAACTTGGTATGCCCCTGATGGTGAGGGACCCGGGGGGGGGGGGGGGGTGGGGGGAGCCACCAGCTCCTCAGATTCCCCTAAAGTACTCTGTTTTTGTGGGAAAACGACCAAAACAAAAAGGGGAAAGGGTGTCACTGAACAACATCGCGCGTTTCACAAGATCCTCTGACATCCAAAGCTATCCAACATGTATATTGCAAAGATCCCCGAGGGCAAACAAAACGGAACAAACCGTAGAGTCTCCCTAGTCCAACTCCCGCATCTGTATGGGAGTTTCTCCACATAGGCACGCCTAAAAACGGCTGGCTTCCTCTTGTATGCGTCCAAAGTTGGTCATGAGGAAACAACACACACGCGAAATGGTGTCAACCCCTTGTTTAAACCACCCAGCTTTTCACGCATCCTCAGGGTCCTCATGTTGGTTTCACCTCTTCAAAAATGCTGCGACCGACATCAAAGGCTTTAGGTGTTCAACATCTACATATGCATTCCAGGTACATTGGACGTTCACCCATCCCCCAAGTAATCGTTTCCCTTCAAGGCAAATTTCACCTCACGTGTCAGAATTTTGAATAACTCTATTCCCTTCAAATGCACCATTTACAGGCAGGGATTAAACATGTATTTTACACCCATCCCCCTCAAGTGGGCATGTGTCAAAACAAGGGGACCTCTTTCCCTTTCAGCCAACCCTTGGAAGGGTACCCTACACGTTCAAGTGGTCGTGTCCCCTCCTCAAAAAATGGGTTTAAATAGCATGTGACTCTCAAAGCTCATATCTTCGGACATCTCAGAATTTTGGAGAGTGGTCCCCAGCCACGACACGACGCCAGACGGGACGGAGCCACGGGCCGGGCCGAATTTAGCTCTGGCGGCTTCTTCTAGATCACCGATCCCTGCCCATGTGCGATCTACGACTTGCCAGTGATCTCTTCCCTTTCCTTGCTGATGCTCACTGGGGAAGGAGGGATTGAACCTGTGGATTTCCTCAACAAAAACCACCAGTTGGATGATGTATTGCCAGTGATCTCTTCCCTTTCCTTGCGCTATGAGGGAGTGAACCTCGGGATTTCCTTGACGCAAACCACCGGTTGCATGGTTTCTAGGGGTCCTTCCATTTGCCAATGGCTCAAAACCCCTTCATTTCAGTGAACATCCCAATCCAACCACTAAAATAGGAAGCCTAACATGGGTGGAGAATTCACCAATCCCAAACACGGGATCCCATGGGTGTTGACCCGGCCATGTCTCACCTACCCGAGGCGCCGGTCCCGCGATGGCGGCCCGGCAGAAGGGGCAGCCTGCCTCTGCAAAGAGCTCCACGCGCACCTCGCGAGGAGCGAAGTGGCCGTCATTCCCCCCCCCCCCCAACTGGGGGGACCACCACCCAGCTGGAAGGCTTGGGGTTTAGTTGGGAAGCAAGGGGGGGGGGGAGCAGGGCCCAGCTGTGGAGCTCTGGGTTTTGAGGGGTTTTGGCGGTGTTTGGCAGGTTTGATGTGCGCGTCGCTGCTCCACCTGGCGGCTACCCCCAATGTAAAGAATCCAACTGGCCACCCACTTAGTTGTGCCCCTGTTAGAAGACTGTCCTCTTAGAAAGGGGGACACTTCTGCAGGTTGTCATGAAGCCCCAGATGTGGGCTCCCAAAAGTGAGCTTCTGTGAAAAGGAAGGCTCTCTTGGGAGGGAGAAACAACGCTTTAAAACCGGCTCCTTAATTGGTGTTTGTTTTGGGGGGCGCCCTTTCTTACAAACATGGGTTGTGTGGTTGGCTTTCTTAATGGAACCAGGTATAACACCCATGGCTTAGCAGTGATATGGAGAACCCAGGGTTGCCCATGCAGCAGAAGTTATTGTTATTGCTGCCAAGCAAACATAGAATGGTATAACTCAAAATCCTTGAGGCAGGGTTCCGTTCATGAGTAATCGTAATGGCCAACGTCTTGTACGATTACTGGTTGCAAACGTGGAGTGTCCTGGACGTCGCGCGCAATAAGAATACAAGGAATTTGGGAATGTTCAAAAACGGAGATTGCGGTTTCAAACAGGGCGGCGCTGCCAATAAATATTGCGGGCGTGTCGGCTTGAATTGACCATGAACTCAGCAAACACCAACGTAGAAAAAAGCTTGCTGCAGTCCTGGGTTTACTTTTGAAAGCTTTGCTTGCGCTCCAGGGAAGGAACAAGCAGTCAAGGCAAGCATGGGTGCGTTCCAGTACTGAGGAAGGATGTGAATACAAAAACGCTCGGAGACATGGCGGATGTCAAAGACACACAGTCGCTCCCCGTACCCCCCTCCCCCATCCTCCCCCTCTTTTCAAACGGACCACTTGCTGGCTCCCGTTCCGCCAGGGCGACACGCACGGGGTCCTTCTGAGCGGCTTTGGTTCTGACCGCCCTTCTTTGGTTGCTCTCTCACCTTCCTCTTGTGGTGACCACTCAAGCACAGGCTAAAACACAGACGTGGAGCAGGAAAGATAAATGAACACCCTGAACGCTTCCATGAATGAAAGTGAGCAACCCACAAAATAAATCAGGTCTTGCTGGAAGAACCGTTTCCAAGCAAATGACGCCATTTGGTGCAAAACTCCTCTCTCTCCCCGACCTTGTCAGCGCCCTGGACCGCCCAGGGCAGCAGAAGGAAAACCGCCAGCATGGCGAGCTAAGAAGCAGAGCGCAGGGGTCCCTTTGAGCTGAAGGCATGTCGAATGGCAGCTCGACAAAATTGCGAATGCTCCGCGGCGGGCCCCATGTCCTCCCAGACTTCGAATAGACTACAAGTCTCGCCAGTTGCTCTCCTTCGGAGCAACTAAAACAAGGATCCACCGCACACGCCAGATTTTGAGGGCTCCATATAAGCCATAGTCAACATACAGTTTCCCTTTACGGGAAAGACACCCTGCTTTTTGTGGAAACTTGAGGTCTCTCAAATCGGCCATAGATTCTGGATATGTTGGTGGAACCTATCATTTTTCGACTGAGTAACCCCCTTGTACCTTGTTGCTGGTGGTCATGAACAATACGCGTTAAGAACAAGACCCCGCGCAACAGCACGTTGGTAACTCACCGAGCCCTTTCGGCACTCTTGTCTCAATCTTTTGGCAGCAGCTGTGCATGATTTCAATCTTCTACCCCATCAAAACCACGGCTGTTGGCTCTCTGCTCAAAAAGTGAACAGCCCTCAAGGCAACCCTCCCTCCCTGCTAAGTGGCGCATTCAGCTGAATGAACTCGGCGTTGGCGTTCTACAAATGGGGGGGGGTGGTGCCAAAACAACAACTGGGGTGGCGTCCTCGTCTTCCGATTTTAAACATACATGTTGCCGCAATTTGTGGAGACCCGGCATCCCAACGCGGCGACGCAAAAGCGACATGGCCCGTTAGCCTCTTCCATCTTCGTGAGGCGTTGATCCAACCTCACCCCCGGCACCGGGTCGTGCAGAAGACATCCACCGCATCCCAAAGAAGCTTTGAAGATGCGGGAGCCCCCTCCCCCCACCTACTCTGTCTAATTACTTGAACAAACTCAGCGACTCTTAAACGCAAAGGGTCCTGAGGGAAGCAAGGGACAAGCCCCGATGTCTGCCCCCTCCAAACCGCCCATCAAAACAAGCTCTCAACCCTTTCGGCTCAGAAGGCGGCTTATATCCAAGTTGGAGAAACAAAGTGCCTGCCGACTCACAAATTGGCCACACGCAGTGTCAATAGACTTGAGAGGGCTTTCGTGGCCTCTTCGCTTCGCCATCCACTTCAACTGCACCAGTCAAGGCAAAGGCAGACATCCCAAACTGCAAAACCAGCTGATCAAGAAAGTGAACTCGGGGTGTCTATGGGCATTTCCTGGTCATCCACGCCACCAAGATGGGAAAAAAGAAACTCAAGCTCGAGGAAACGAGTCACTTTCGACGGGCCACCAAAAGGCGATCGCTGGTACAAAACGGATCTAGTCGCCAGCCGCGATTTCCACGGGGGTAGCATGCCTGTTGATGCGATCCTCCTCACTTCGCTGTGCAAAATATCCTGCTTACCGAGTGGTCGGTGATCCAAATGGAAGCCCTGAAAACTAGGTGAACAGGCTGGGAAGTGCACAGCAAGAAGTCGAAGACGAGCGAAACGTTCCGTTCAAAAGAGGCCTCCAGTTTGTCTTTCGGCTCTATGCTCGTCAGAAACAATGTGAGCACTGCGAAGTGCTCGAACTGCTTGTTGCTTACGGCCCCAAGCTCAGGCTGGCCTGAAGACGGAATTTCGAAGGAAAGCCAACGGACCGAAGATCCAAAAGGCCCAAACAGGCGATTGGCTACAAACCTAAAACCAGTCATGCTCAAGAACGGAATCGAAAACCAACGCACAAACGGGACCACCAAGCAAAAAGAGGTAGGCCCAAGAATCCATGCGCATATCCAGCTTGTACCAGGGTGAAAGAAGATTGCATCACCCCCCCTGACGCAGCCAAGTATAGGGCATGACCGAACCAAAAAAGGGGGGAAGAATTCTGATATCCACTTTCACCCAACCGTACCCTCAAGGTGCAACTCCCGGCTGCTTGGGAAGCCCATCCAAGCCGAAAGGCCGCAGCTGCGCGGACGCGAGCTGCTCCAACCGCCCGTCCTCGATCGCTTCGCTTCTGATTGGGATAACCCACTGCAAACCGCGCGGAACACGACGCGGTTGACGTGCCCGGAAAGCCTCCGACGAGCCAAACCACATGAAAGCCTTTAGATGTCTTTGGGAAGTAGACTTTGTTAAAAAAAAAAAAAAAAAAAAAAAAAAAAAAAAAAAAAAAAAAAACTGGTTCCAGGTCAGTGGCCCGGCCATGACTTTTATTTACCCACCTAGGTGCCAGCTGAGCTTCCCTTGCGCCGCTGCGTGCGAGTGGAGCTTAGAAGAAACATCAAAGGATCACACGGGTGATCCAAGATCTCCTCTCACATATGATGTTTGGGGGGAAAGGGGGGGGAAAGAAAAGAAAAGAGCGAACCAGGAGTGTCTGTGCGGAAAAAAGGGAAAACCACCTCTGTAAACGTGTTAAGAGGGAAACCAACGGGGAAAGCTGCCAGGTTTTTTCTGGGTTTCCCCTGCACAAAGACCTGCCTGCACCTCCGTGCGGAGTCCGAGCTGGGGCTTCCAGCCATCTCCTCGTGGAAGCCCGACAGGAGATCCTGGCACTCGGATAATGAGGAGGGGGTGAACGAAAGCTAGCAACTGTTGTATGAGTAATTGATATAATTCTTTGATAAAATCGATCTCTTTCCCATCACGGAAGTGGACAGGAGGAATTACAAAGCACTCCCCTTCAGCTTGGGGCCTCGTACCTTCTATGATTATTGGGCAGAAAGAGACTATGCAAAAACTCTGTCGACTAAGACACCAGAGCTCTGTGGGAAACTTCGGGACTCTACGACACAATATTTATGCTAGGATCGCGGAAAAGATGTGGTGTGTGGCATTCCGACAAAGTGCAGCGGGCAATGCTTCTGAAGGTCCCTCCTTGGTTGCTTGCCTCTTCCACTGTAGTGCTTGCTCGCGGCAGTCTTTGATGGACCGGTTGGCTCGAATGACATACACTTCCAACAGCAGTCAAAAGCTCCCGCTTCCAAGAAGTGCACGGGGCGCGCAAACTTGGCCAACACCACCTTCGCAACGCTTGAATGCCTTGCCCTCGGATCACCCAAGTTGGTAGCTACACATTCGGCCCAATTTTAGCGTCTAAGGCTCCTAGGTACTTATGCAAAAGTCGTGCAGCTCCATGAGCTTCAGGCTTCCTTGTGAAGCTGCCGGCGCCGAAGGGCTGGCCCAAAACCGCCAACTTCACTTCTCTCCCACACAAGCCTGAGCGCAGTCCGCATCAAACTGTGCCAGATGGGTGTTCATCGTCTCACGTCTGTCGGCTTGGCCGGGTAGTTACACTTTGAGGGCAGAAGTGGACAGACATGCCGAGATGTTTATCTGCTGCGGCTGGCTTCAAGAGAGTTCGAACATCCAAAATGGGCACTGTATCAACGACTCCCGCAAGGACAGTGGCCTTGTGCAGCGAGCTGACCACATGGCATTTCAGGACTCCTTGGTAGGTACCCGTCTCTCCAGTCGGGATGCCGCCTCTTGCATCCACTTTATCAGCCAATTCTTGCTGCTCATGCGGCCCTGTGCTGAAGAATTTCCTGAAGTTGAGGCAGCGTGCACACGACAAAAACTCACATACAGCGTCATCAACGCCATGACCCATGGAAAGAAAGGATGCAGACCCGGCCATGATTACGCCTCAAATCGGCCCCCATACCGTTGTTGAGCTCGCTTAACTTTCTGATATGTTGCTTGGAGAGATGCCAACCCCCCCCCCCAAAAAAAAAAAAAGAACCTACATCCACCAAACCCTCCCATCCCCCAACATCGCACAAAAACAAAACCCTCCCATCCCCCAATATCGAAAACAAAAACAAAACGCACTCAACACCCTCCCTACCTTCCCCCTCCCCGGCCTGCAGGGCCGCAGCCTCGTCCAGCTGCCGCCGCAGGACGCTGCGCTCCACCTGCGCACTCACGAGAACACTCGAGCCCATGCGTCCAAATCGAAGCCCCAGAAGGGGGGCTGTTCTGGTTCCCAAACACGAGCCCCGGCACCAGAAAGCTTTCACAGAGACTTCTTCACATGGACAAAAATTGAAGGTGTGGGTTTTGAACCGACCAGATCTCAAAGAAAAGACACACGCGCACACACACACACACACACACACATGCGCGCGCACACGCGCACACACAGACACTCACATGGAGCGCTGGGGAAGGTACCTTTCGGTTGCTTGGAAACCCGCGAAAAGTTGCACTTCGCTTTCAAGAACTTAAGTCTTTGTTTGGTATATGAGTCTTAACCAGGCAGCCTTTTTTGCCGGCTTCAAATAGGGTTCAAAACATGCTGCTCATGTGTCAACAAAAAAAGGCCCCCAAAAATGGCGGCTTTTCTTGTCCCTTGCAAACCGCAGCAGAGGGGTACCCTCAAACAACACAAGTTTGGGGGATCCCAGCCCTGATGTTGCAACCACCTCCTCACGGCTGCGGCGCTGCGCTTGGTTCTCCTCGCTCTGGAGCCGCGCCTGACACGCGAGCCACTCACTCGCAAGAACGGACGAGTGGGTGTCTAATGAAGGCTGTGAAAAACTTTCAAAACTTCCCCTCCACTTTTAGTCTGTTCCAAAAGGAAAAGCCTGATTTTGAAACAATGTCATCTTGAGGATTCTATCACGTCTCACAATTCCTGACAATGGTTCCTGGCACACGTTTTGCCGAACCGGTTTTGATGATGCCACCAACGCGGCGCATGCTACCTCCATTTTTTGTGCTCGCCGCGTCCCAAGGGACATCTGAAAAATGAAAAGAAAATTACACCAGGGTGACAGTAGATGGCACGCATCCCTTTCTCAGTCGGGGTATGAAGCCAAAATGGGTTAGAACTGTTCCATCTGACTTCACCCGACTCTACCCCGATGGGTTTCTTAAGCCGTGGATCTACCCCTGGATCTACCCCCGGCGATGCTTCCGGTTGACATCATCCCGGAACTTAACTTAAAAAACGCAAATGGGTGTCTCCGAACAAGGGGCCCGCCAAAAAGAAAAAGAAGGTACGGCTTTCCTTGGGACTCCTAAGCCGACTGAGAGGTCTCCGAAGATAGACGCCTGGAGGTCCCTGAGCTGGCGCAGCTCCCGGCCCATGTCGAAGCCCCGCTCCTAAACGAGTCGAAAGTGGCTGGCCCGTTGGCTGGCCCGTTGGCTAGCCTGGCTGGTTGGTTGGGTGGGTTGGGTGGGTTGGGTGGGTTGGGTGGGTTGAACCTACCCAACGCACATGGCACACCTGACCCATTGACCTAGTTATGCACACTTGTTGCCCTCTTTGCAATGGAAGTCCGCACGGAAATTTCGGAAGACTACCGTGTGAAGAGGCCGGCAGCTGTCCACTTCTGTTGGAAGGCACTGAAACTCGCGTGGAGCTCCACGACCCGATCGATCAAACAGATCTCCACCAGCGGGACACCAGGTCAGAGGTTTTGTTTGAACCAACCGGAGACGACAATTTTGCCTGGATTTCTGCCTTTGCCCTGGATTTGTCCCTTGTGCCATGTCCGCTTTCCTGAATTGGCGCCAATGTGTGGCCTAAGCTCAGAAGCCAACTGGAAACAGCAACCACGGCCCAACCCGCCAGCCGAAGCAACCCACCAACCCACCCAACCAACCAGCAAGGCCAGCCAGCCAGCCACCAACCCACCCAACCCACCCGGGTAGGTGTTTGGGTAGGTTAGGTATGTCGAGTAGGTTGGCTACATAGATTGGAATTTCTGAGGAAGGTTGGGCAGGACAGTTCCATCAAGCACTAGGTAGGACGGACAGGAAGTTAAGAACTCCGAAGTAGTTGCAACGAAGAGCCCATGGAGTAGTTTCACAGATGCCCAAGAATCCAGTCGGGGCCAAATGAATCCCCTCATCAAGACTTTCGTGTCTCTTTTTCGGTGCAGCCAAAACCCAGGAAGGCCATAGAAATTCTTCAAGAAGGCCACCCATGCGGACGTAAGATCCATCAACTGGAAGATGCATTGGGGGGCGGTTGAGGGCAATCAAACGCACACCACCTTTCTCAGGGGTCCCCCATATCAAGACCAACTCTCCAAGCAATCCGTTTCAATAGGGGCAAGGCTTGGTCGTCCAATGTCCGGTTGTTCATCAAGCAATCAATGAGTGTTTGTTGTAATTGCAGAGTCCCAGAATGGTGTAGTTTTGAAGGAAGCCAGCACAAAACAGGTTCACCTGTCAAGATCTACAAAGCCTCGGCACAAACTGGCCATCATTCGGCTGGCACAGGTGGAGTGTTTCTTCGTTTTCTCGTTGACCGAAAGGCCAGACTATCTGAGAACAGGACCATTTTCATGCAATCCTTCTTAAATGCCAGAATCTAAGAGCCAAAGCCTCGATTAAAAGCAAAATGTAGCGGCCATTGTTGCTGGGGAAAAGGTTGAAGAATATCTCTCGCCGGACCATTCGCTGAGAAGAGAAGGTCAAAAGAAACAAACCCCTGCCTTCAGTCCGAAATCTTGCTTGGGACAACAAGTTTGTGTCTGGCAACCATGCGGCCCAGCAACACACGCCAACTGCATCGCTTGCTGGAGGTTTACCCACACCAACAGCGCGGGACTGCTGTTGTCTATTCATCACATACTCTCTGCATATTGAACATCCAATGGTCCAGGAATACTACAATCCAAGTACTGTCTTTTTGACGTGCAAAAGCACCCAAAGAACATGACACTCTGACAGACTTGCCGAGGCACCCATTCGAAAGCATCGCAGGCTTGTACATTCTGATCTGGCGAGATTTGGATGACGGGACCCTAACATGATTTCCTGCTTGTGCATTCAGAGCATCAACCATACTCGGTACTCACATTGTTTCTGGGCTATGTTCCGCGACATATGGTTCATATTTGGAGTTTCGAGATGAAGGAAACTCAACAGGTTGGGATCGGCTTCGAATGCAGACCCAGCGTCCCCCCTCTCCTGACGGCGGTCCATGGTGAAGTCAGCCCGCCCAGGGTCCGCGCTGTTGTAAATGTCCGGTCATTGCCAACATGTGTAGCAAAACTGAACATGCGAGGGGCGGGAGGCAGTAAATGCAAATATGTTTGCTTTATTTAAAGCATCTGGCGCACGGCATTGGAACGCACTTGAAACAAGAAACAAACCAAATTTAATTTCAGTTTTGCCTCCGATTCGAGGATTATGTGCAAAAAACGCCATCCAACTTGCTCGAGAATCAGGGATGGCAAGTCGGCCGGTCGCCGACACTGAGTCAAAACCACTTTTGAATTGCTGTGAACACGAGCGCGCTCGAAATTCACACGCCTAATTTACACCAACATGTAGCAAACAACACACAACATTGCATACAAGCAAAAAACCAAACCAAAAAAAAATGAGCGTGAACCAAAGAATTGACGAACAAACCAACAGACAAACAGACAAACAGACAAACAAACCCAAACAGACAAACACAGACAAACAAAACAAACAAAACCAAAAAGACAAAACAGACAAAGCAAACAAAACCAAACAAAAACCGACAAACAAAACAAACAAAACCAAACAGACAAAAACAAACAAACAAAACTAGCAAAACCAAACAGAAAAAAATAAAAATAAAAATATTTAAAAAAAGAAGGCTAAACAAAGAAAACCAAACAAACAAAACAAACAAAACCAAACAAACAAACAAAACCAGAACAGACAAAAACAAACAAACAAAACTAACAAAACCAAACAGACAAAAACAAACCAAGCTAAACAAAGAAAAGAAACAAACAAAACAAAGAAACAAACAAATGTAGGCATATATCTTTATATCTTTATACTAACAAACAATCAATCAAACAAACAAACAAAAGAAACCAACCAAACAAACAAACACACATAAAAGCGTATATTTGTATATATACATATATATATATAAATTTATACAAACAAACAAAACAAAACAAAACAAATCAAACATACATACAAGCAAGCAAGCAAGCAAGCAAACAAACAAACAAACAAACAAACAAACAAACAAACAAACAACGCTCAGACGTCCTGTAAACGCTCGTTTTTTTCGTTCTTTCCCCCCTGTAATGGCCGCAAGAACGCGCAAATCATATGGTTTTTCGCAGGTTTAGAGCAAGTCCAGCAAAGGGTGGGCCGGATGTCCGAGTGGAACTGCAAGAGCGCGGCCTATCCTTAGGTGACTCCAAATCAAAACCTGTTATTTAAATGGTCGCACTCCCAGAACCATGTCGGCGGGCATGGATTCCGTGCTGCGCGGGTGCACTTGAACGGGTGTTCTTACCATTTGGCTGGCATGGATGCAGTGCTGCGCGGGTGCACTTGAACGGGTGTTCTTACCATTTGGCTGGCATGGATGCAGTGCTGCGCGGGTGCACTTGAACGGGTGTTCTTACCATTTGGCTGGCATGGATGCAGTGCTGCGCGGGTGCACTTGAACGGGTGTTCTTACCATTTGGCTGGCATGGATGCAGTGCTGCGCGGGTGCACTTGAACGGGTGTTCTTACCATTTGGCTGGCATGGATGCAGTGCTGCGCGGGTGCACTTGAGCGGGCGTGCCTATCGTGAGTGTGAATTTCCATATAATTCCCGCGTTTTACGTGGTAGTGGCCGGACATGCACGAAACCTGTGAAAAACCATATGATTTGCGCTTTTTTGCGGCCATTACAGGGGGGAAAGAACCAAAAAAAGCGCGCGTTTACAGGACGACCGAGCCACAAACAAACAAACAAACAAACAAACAAACAAACAAACAAACAAACAAACAAACAAGCCGACCGCACAGTCGGCTCTTGTTCCACCGCGCAATGCTTTTACGGATCTTACCACTGACCATTGCTGGTTTCATGTTCGGACGCCAGCGTTCCTGACCCTTTCAGGCTGGGCGATTGGCTTGAACAGCCTACCCGCACCCTTTTGGGCTTGGACTCAGCTGGAGATTTTGGCGGAAAAGACGAACACAGACACCCGCCCGACTTACAAGGCCATCACATTGCGTCACAAGCACGTCAAGATCAAAGAAACATGAAGGCCAAGCAACGCATAGCTCCGTGATTGCATTCTGACCCGCGTGCCTAAACGTTGAGAGCATGTGCCACCGATGCCAACTTAGTTTGTTGGGCCGTCTTCCAAGGTGCCCAAAACTTAGCCACGCAGAACAGAGCGAAATCCATTCTGATGTGCACTGTCAAAACTTTCATCGCTGAACAAAACCCAACAGAAATGCACACAATCAACAGCAACCACGCTGCTTTGTGGGCCCAGCTTCTCAACGTCTCTTCACACATCCGGTATCTGGTTGATGTAAGCAAGAATGGGCGTTTCATCTATGCATTTTCGAGCACAGACACTGGGTCTCCTCATCAACTTGGGCTGTGGGATGCATCAAGTTGGCTTGCCTACCTTGCGCGCAGTAGGACTTAGGGGCAAAATCGGGTTAACTCTGAATAGACTCTTGGAACTCCTCCAATAGTTAAGTTATAATGCTCGCCACCCGAATCCGTAAAGACAGTGTCCTTTCAATGCTTTCATAAATCAGGCATGAGCCGTGTTGTTCAACTTCCAACCAGATTTGAACAGCTTCTCACTCACATTAGCAGATAAACATGAACAGTTTTCCAAGCCGCACAGTTGCTTTCAACTCTGTATGTCCAAGGACCAGTGAGAGAGAGGCGCTGCTCACCAAGGGAACGCGCGGTCGCGCCATTTCTTTGTTTTTTGCTGGGATTTTTGTCCAATTAAGAACTGAAACTTGTAGGTGGCTGAGGTGTGGCGCCCTTTGAGAGGGTCCAAGTGGAGACGGTTTTCGCTTGGCTAGAAAAGTTGGGAACTGCGCCGCATTCTTAAATCACAGCTTGCAGCAGAGGAGGTTTTTCATGCGTAAGTTGCCTAGATTTTTGCCCGCTGGGTTCTTCCGTCAAACAGCCATGTTAGAAGGCAACAAAAGTGTTTTGGCGTGGCCTTCCGCCGTCGAACAGAAATGCAGGCGTGGTCATCAGCACTGTAAACCAGCCCTGCCGAGGTGATGAGGCATTGAAAAACCAAAGACGTTGCAGAGCTGTAAAATGCCGGCGTGGGTGGCACGGAGCTCGTGGAGCTGCAAACTTCGACAACTGTGTGACACGACACGCAAAACCGGTGTGGCCAAAATGCGGGCCGGTAGGGTTGTACGCGTTTTTTGGCAGCGAAACTCAACCTTCCGATAAACTTGAAACAAAACAAGTCCGTACTGCCTCGGCTTCTTGGGGGTGTATTTCTACATTGAAACCGTTGCAGACAACATTAACGTTAAGAAGCCAAGGTGGTCTCCTATCTGGCACTGCCTCGTTACAACTGCGGCGTCGCTTGCTGTGAGCTGCCTAAAACAACTTGAAGCAAGATTGCTAATCTTGTTGAGTTTTAAGATTTGACAATGTTGCTGACCGACCGCTCCGGACAAGGTGACAACTCGTTTGTCAGAAAAACCCGCTACTGTGCATTGACCTGTCGCAGGCCCTCTGCTGCTTCACCTTTGCCCGCAACAACTTTCCATTCAACTTCAAAAAAACTAGACCACGGTTGGCCCGAAAGCATAACATCGCAAGCAAGGTTGGCAAAACGCTGCAAAAATGCGTTCTCTTTTTCTTGCGCGAAGCATTCGTGAAGCAAGCGCGAGACAGCGCTAGGCGGCTCATGGTCTGTTAGCTCATTGGCTGAAGGAAAAGTGCGCAAGTTGCTGGGCAAGGCGCTCTGCGCAAACTGGTCTGTGCAAGTTGCTCTGCGCAAGTTGCTCTGTGCAAGTTGCTCTGTGCAAGTTGCTCCGTGCAAGTTGCTCCCTGCAAGTTGCTCTGTACAAGTTGCTCTGCGCAAGTTGTTCTGTGCAAGTTGCTCTGCGCAAGTTGCTCTGTGCAAGTTGCTCTGTGCAAGTTGCTCCGTGCAAGTTGCTCCGGGCAAGTTGCTCTGTGCAAGTTGTTCTGTGCAAGTTGCTCTGCGCAAGTTGCTCTGCGCAAGTTGCTCTGTCAAAAGTGCTCTGCGCAAGTTGCTCTGCGCAAGTTGCTCTGTCAAAGTTGCTCTGTGCAAGTTGCTCTGCGCAAGTTGCTCTGCGCAAGTCTGCAAAACTCTCCGCGCAAAATGTTGCACAAGTTGCTCTCTGTACCAGTTACTCTGCGCAAGTTGCCTGCGCAAGTGCTCTGCACAAGTCAAGTCTCTCTGCGCAAGTGTCATTGCGCAAGTGCTCTGCGCAAGCTGCTATGTGCAAGTCTCACGGCTTTCGCTTGCGAAGCCCGCCCGCGGACCAGCAAGGAATCGAACCCGCGACCCGCCGGTCCCGGGAGCAGGTGCGCGAACCACGAGACTCCCGAGGACCATTCTGAAGAGCAAAAAGTCGCAAAAATCTTGAGTTTTTTGCACCTCGACCGCGCCGATCTCCGCAGAAGGCGCGGGCGCCGCAGAAAACGCAAAAACACCTCTAGTTTTGCACCTCGACCACGCCGATCCCCGCAGAGGGTCACGCGAGCACCGCAAAAAACCTCGAGTTTTTGCAGCTCGACCACGCCGATCGGTCGCGCGGGCAGGTTGCGAATCGTAAAAAAACTTGAGTTTTTGGTACTTCGACCACGCCAATCCGCGCAGAGGGTCGATCTTTGTACAGTGTCGTCGGCGTTGCCCCACCGCCCTAAGAAGAGATTTTGACTCCTCGCAAGCCAATCTCGCGAGCACGCACTTGCAACTTGCACTTGCAACTTGCACTTGCAACTTGCGCTTTGCAAATTGCGCTTGCAACTTGCAATGACTCTCATGACTCCTTGCACTTGCAACTTGCACTTGCAATGACTCTCGTGACTCCTTGCACTTGAAACTTGCGCTTGCAGTGACTCTCATGACTCCTTGCACTTGCAACTTGCACTTGCAATGACTCTCATGACTCCTTGCGCTTGCCACTTGCACTTGCAATGACTCTCAAGATGATGACTGACTCCTTGCACTTGCAACTTGCACTTGCAATGACTCTCATGATGATGATTCTCATGATGATGACTCT